TGTACCCCCCCTTCCCTTCCTCTCTTCTCTCTTCGCCTCTCTTTCATGATTTAGCCAGATAAGTCTTTGAATTACAGGCATCTGACACTGGAGGTTGTCTGTCTTATACAGCCCAGGCTAACCTGGAACTCCTGATTCTCTTGCCTCCACTCTCCAAGCACTGGGATTACAGGCAGGCACCATCCTATCGTATGTAGTGCTACAGATGGAACCCAGAGCTTTGTGTATACTAGGCAAACTCTGACTGCACCACTTTCCAAACATAGACTAGACTGGCATTGAACTCAGAGATCTTCCTTCCTCTGCCTCCTGAGTGCTGGGATTAAAGGTGTGCGCCACCACCGCCCAGCTTGTTTTTAGTTCTTTTTGATAGGATCTTCACACATAGCCTTTCACTATCATGGTCAGGCTGGTCTTGAACACTGGTAAATTTCCCACCCCTGCTTCTGGAATAAAGGGTGTGTCCCACCCCTTGCCTCTTCCCACCCAGTGTAGTTTTTTATTGATGATTTTCTTTTTATAATTTTTATTTATGTTTATGTGCATATATTTGTGTAAGTATATGTGTGTGGTACCCATGGAGTCCAGAAGAGGGCATCAGATCCCATGGATGTGGCGTTACAAGTGGTTGTGAGCCACCCAGTGTGGGTGCTGGGATCCCAACTCAGGTTTTCGACAAGAGCAGCACATATTCCTAACTGCTGAGCTATTTCCCTGCCTCCATTATTTTTCTGGCTAGGAAAGCAATGTTTATTTACCACAAATACCTACTACTAAATAATAACAACTGACAATCTTATAAAAATGTTCAAAGACATGGCTCCTGTAGCTTTACTAGAAGAACCCTTGCTTAGTATGTGAAAGTCCCTGGATTCACCCACACAGGGAGAGGTATAAAAGAAATGCCCTTCCTAATAGATAATCTAAATTACAATCATTCAATTGTAATACGGCTTGTAAAAACCAGAAAGCATTAAAGGAAATGTAATTTGCATATATGTAAAGGAAGGTACATTTGGAGTGGGGTGGAGTGTGGGGTGCTGGGATGGTTCAGTTATACGGCTGAGCTGGAACCCAGAACCCATGTACAAGGCTGGCTCTCATGTATGGGTGCATGTGGGGGCTAGAGGTCAGCCTCGGGCGTCCTTCCTGTCACTGTCCTTGTTTTTGAGACCTGGTCTCTTGAATGATCCCTGACTTGGCTGCAGTGGGCTGGCCAGCGAGCTCTTGGATTGGCCTGTCTTTGCTTCCCTAGCATGGCATTGGATTACAAGTGTGCCCCGTTATGCCTGGCTTTGTTATGTGGGTCCTGGGGATTGAAATCAGGACGCCATGCTTGGTGACAAGGACTTTTACCTGACAGTCATCTCACTGACCCCACTCCTTTGTTTTGGAGAGGACAGAGTAAGGTAATGTATGTAGTTCCTCATGGTCTGGATCTTGCTATGTAGATCAGGCTAGCCTTAAATTAGCCTCGATTCTCCTGTCTCCTCCTTGATCCCCAACACTGGAATCACAGGTATATATAACCAGCATAACACTTTGTTTTGTTTAAAGCATGACCCGTAAAGCCTGTAATCCCAGGACTGATCAGTACAAGTCCCAGGTCAGCCTAGGGTTACATATACAGACCATATTTCAAACAAACCCCGAAAAATCAGGATAGCTGGTGAGATAGCTCAGTAGGTAAATGTGATCCTGGAAAGCTTGACTGCCAGAGTTCACGCCCCAAGACCCACATGGCCAAAGAATCAATTCCTGAACCCAACAAAGTTTTATCTGATCACTATATGCTCTCCCCCTAATACAGATACTTAAAAAAAGAAGAAAAAAGAGAAAAATAAAAACCCACAAAATATTGTCTGTTTGCTTTTGGAAGGAAATAGCACTTGAAGTACTGCTATCACTGCAGACATTCGGTCTGTCAGCCCTCAGCTGGACTGTGGATTTGGGGTACATTATTGACTTTCTCTGACTCAGTCCCCTCTTCTGTAATAGAGGACGACTAGGCTGATTTGGTACCCATCATTATTTTGTGTGTGTGTGTGTGTGTGTGTGTGTGTGTGTGTG